GTGGTTGCATGCGCCCAACTGCCTTTGGCCTGTGTTTGGCCCAGTACCCGTATCCAGCCCAGGGCCTGCTTCCCATACATTCACACAGGCGGCCCAGGGCCTGGGTTCTCTCAACCAACTGGCGCTGCGCAACTGCCTGAATTTCCTTAGTTGCACAGTGGCCAAAATAGGGCCCTGTGGGCCTCGTCGAGCCTGCCTTCACTTAGGGCGGCCGACATTCTCCAAAATGGGCTCGAATGGGGCTCATAGAGGCAGTGGCCTCGCATTCTCTCCTCCTTAGCTTCAACAGTCCTCTGAGAAGCTCAGTCTTCAACCATCGGGCGCTTTCCCTTCTGCAGAGATCTCTCGTAGTGGGCTACAACTTGCGGAGCGGTCTGCATGAGTTCCTCCCTGGTGAACCAGCGGTACTCCTTCGGATCAGTATGATGTCGGAACCGAACGCGGTACTGCAGCTTCAGTTTCGGAGGACGTCCCCTGCCTGTTGTTCTTGGAACTGGCAGCTCCCGGTGATCAACAATATCGTCGATGTCGACCTCTCCATCCATGGTTGTGGGCAGCATTGAGCGACGGGATGGAAACTGATCTGTTTCCTTGAAAGGTGCAAGTTTGGAGGCGTGAAAAACAGGGTAAGTACGGAGATGACCAGGGATCCGGACAACATAAGATGGGCCATCCGGATCAGTCCCAACAATGTCTAGGACTTCCCAAGGCCCAAAGTACTGAGGCATAAGTTTACGGGAGATCCCGTACTCTTGTCCCAGTTTTGAAGATTATATCCCCAACCTGAAACGTAGAAGGGCGGCGGTGTTTATTCTCAGACTCTATCATTGCCGCTTGTGCCTTCTGCATCTGTTCTACCGCCTGCTGCATCTTCTGTTCATACCGATAGGCAAATTCTAAGGTACCTGGTGCGATAGTTGACTGATTCTCAGGAAGGAGGAAGTCTAAGGGCAGTCTAGGCTTGAAAGTCAACACTAAGCTGTTTGGGCTCACCCCGGTAGCGCTGTGTACAACATTGTTGTACAGGCTGGCGATGAGAGCAAGCTTCTCATCCCAGTCCACCTGGTTGGGCTTGATGTAATGCCTCAACAGGTGTTGTACAGCGCGGTTCAGTTGCTTGGCCTGGCCGTTGGCCTCTGGGTGATTGCCAAAAGTCATCTGCAACTGGGTACCCTGCTCCGCAGCTGCAGCCTTCCGCAACTCACTAGTGAATCGGACATCCCTGTCACTCACTATTGATTTGGGCAAACCAAAATCCGTGACCCAATTTTCTTTAAACAACCTGATTACATACTCGGTTTTCGTAGTCTCCGGCATGGCTACTAATCCAGCAAACTTACTAAATCTATCCATGATGACGAAGATGTGTTGCATCCCACTCTTGCTGGTGACCAGAGTATCCATGAAGTCCATGGACAGACTCTCACCAGGCCGTTCCGGAATCGGAAGGGGCTTCAGGAGCCCAAGAGGAGCCTGAGTACGTGGCTTGTCCCTTTGACAGACCTGACACGTCTCCACGTACAGCTGGGCGTCTCGCATCATCGTGGGCCACCAGAACCGCTGCAGCAGATTGGCTGCAGTCTTCTTATACCCAAAATGGCCGGTGGCATCATGGCACTCACCTAAAAACAAACTACGCAAAGACTCTCTATTTGGGACACACAATCGCTTATTCCCTGCCTTCTCAAGGAACAGCAAGCCGTTGACCAATTCAAACTCGGCAGAAGTCCTTTTGTCCTTTGCCTCTAGTCCGCGTATGATCTCAGACATAAACTGGTCCTCTCGATAGGCTTCCACCAAAGAGCGAGTAACATTGCCTGTCAGATCGAACTTAGTAATCAGCGCACCTGAGAAGTCCGGTCTACGCGACAAGGCATACACAAGCTTGTTGTACTCCCCTTTCAGATACCGAGGGTCAAAGTCATACTGCTCAATGACTTTGATCCAACGCTTCAGAGCGTCAGAAAGTACCGGCTGGGTTCTCATCCATCTCAGTGTCTGATGATCAGTCCTGAGGATGAAGAACTTCCCAAGGAGATAGTGCCTCCAATGGGTCAGAGCCTTGTACACCGCATAGAGTTCCTTCTCATAGGTTGACTTTGCCAACTTCTGAGACGCATTTTCTTAGACATGTACTCTACTGGCCTTAACTTTGGCCCCTCCTGCTGCGCAAGCACGGCGCCAATGCCATATTGGCTGACATCCGTGGTAACCACAAATGGCTTGTCAGGATCGGGAAGTTTCAAGACTTCGTAGTGTGTCAACGCATGCTTCAGATGTCTGAAAGCAGCCTCGCACTCGTCTGTCCATTCCCATGGGGTGTCAAGGCGGGTCAGATCAGTCAAAGGAGCGGCCACTATGCTATACTTCTTAACGAAGGTCCTATAGTAGCCTGTCATCCCTAAGAAAGATCTCATCTCAGTCACAGACTGAGGACGTGGCCAATCACGAATGTTGGCCCCCTTCGCGTCATCGGGCTTCAACCCTTCCGCGGAGATCTCATGACCCAAGTACAAGACACGGGTGCGGCCAAACTCGCACTTCTCGCCGTTTATCTTGAACTTGTGTTGTCGCAGGAGGCTGAGGACTTTGTCCAGGTGTGCAACGTGCTCCTCGACAGTCTTACTAAAAATAAGTATGTCATCGAGGTACACAATGACAAACTTATCCAAGTAGTCATGGAAAATCCGATTCATAGCATGCTGAAAGGTGCCAGGAGCATTGCAAAGGCCGCAAGGCATCACCACAAACTCATACAGACCGTACCTGGTCTGAAATGCGGTTTTGTGTTGATCCTCGGGCCGGATTGCAATCTGATGGTACCCGGACTTCAGATCTATCTAACTGAAGTACCGACACCCTTGCACTCTATCAAACAAATCGTTGATGCGCGGTAGGGGCTCTCTATTCTTAACAGTGATGGCATTGAGGCCCTAATAGTCAATGCACATCCTCAGAGTTCCCTCCTTTTTCTTAGGTACAAATAATACTGGGGACCCATAAGGAGAGACACTCGGCCGGATCCAACCCTTCTCTACGAGAGCTCCTTGAGTTGTCGGCGAAGCTCATCGAGCTCGCCTGGAGACATCCGATAGATCCTACCCTTCGGGATGCTAGACCCTGGGATAATCTCTATCGCGTGGACGACCTCCCTCTCTACAACCCTTGTCGGCTCTTCAAATAGATCAGGGTACTTGGCAACTACTCCCTCTATCTCCGGCGGCATTTTCACTGGCTCGCCTGCAGCAGAGACATAAACTAGGTACATACCCTCCTCCTGATTTTGCTTATAATAGTTATAGAACGCGGCCGCACACATGCATCCATGGGACTCGATCAGACTACTAGCTTTGAACTTGTGCAATCTGGCGGTCCCTCCACCTGGCAAAGTGTGTTTGACCACTTTTCGATCCCAGTCAAACTGGGGTTGTGCCACAGAGAGGTAGTACATACCTAACAACATGTCCATGGGGAGTTCGTCACTTACTAGGAACGAGACACGATGTCTCAATTCCCCTCCCGCGTACGAGAAACAACACTCCACATCTTGGAGGTAGTCGTTGACTACCATGCGCTGTTTGTTGGCACAGGTCGACTCAGGCGCTGCACTTGCCCCTGTAAGCGCAGCCTCTCAACGCACGCGCGACTGATAAAGTTCCTAGTTGAGCAAGTATCATAATAGGCCCCGGCCTTGCGACCGCCAATGACCACCTCGCTGACGAACATCTCACCCTTCGGGGCTTTGACTAGGGCCGTCCAAGAAGCCAACGGGTCTGATCTAGACCAGTCCTCCTCTAGCTCCTCGAAGTACTCAAACACATTCATCGAACAGAGGCTCAATGGGTCTGAACGTGTTTGCAGGACGATGCTGGAGTCAGTAGCTTGGGCCATCTCTCGAGACGGTGAGGGTGTCTCCACCACCTCGACCCTAGCAGGAACAGCTACTATTCCTACTAGCCCGACGTGTTTCCCGGAGCACTGCCAGAAATACTAGCTACGTTGCTACCAACGAGATGGGAGAATCCCAACGCTTGCCCCATCGTAGGCGGGATCTTATCGGTCAACTTCTTGTCGCGGCACTTGAATTGGTGATGGCCATATTGACCACAACGAATACAGGCCTGCCGTGTATACCGATCTCTCCACACGTCCTCTGTGAGAACCGCTTTCTCCCATGGAGGAGCATTGGGGTCAACTTGACTCCTAGACCGGGAACCTCCACGGCGTCTACCGGTCGCCTTACCTTTCTGAGCTACGGCAGCAACTACTCCACCCTTTGAAGCTTCTACGCTGCCAGCCTCTGAACCTACTCCTTCCTGCAAGTTGTCGTCTAATTCGATGGTTGAACCATCGTTATCGACAAACATAATGCGCCCCTTCGCCTTCCAGTTGGGAGGCAGTGTCTTTTTCCTACCGTCCGTTGTGGGATTGTGTCCATGCCCTATCTTAGCTTCAAGGTCTAGGGCCTTCTTGCTGAACGAGGCGAAGTTGTGAACATTGATGTTGGCCTCACCTGCCAACTGATTCCTGAGAGGCATTGGAAAGCATCTTAGGTAGGAGGTGAGTAAAACCAGGGGGTCATAGCGCACCCCAGGGACACAGATCAGACACTCTACAGCGTCGGTGGCCTCCCTTATTGACTTAAACTGCCTCGTGTGCAGTGTCAAGATCGCATCAGTGGCCTTTTGGGCCTCCTGAGGATCATGCCACCTTTTTTCCACCAGCTTAAGGAAGTCACCCAATTGTCGGGTGACCGCCCAAGCGCGGAAGTCATGACTGTACCCCTGTAGTTGCACTAAAACGCTCAACCATCGTGTTGCACTACCCTCTAGATAGGATGCAGCCACAAGCACCTCCTCGTGTGGCAAGGTAAGCTTACACTTGACATAGACTGGCACTGCCCTCAACCACTTGTCGAGGTCTTCGCCCCTCTTATCCCCTGTGAAGGGTTTAGGAGCGGCGATGGCCGTCTTTGGTACCCACTGTGTTTGTCCCGGTCCCTGCATCACTTCGGGCTGTGGACCCTGTGACACAGGCTGCTGTGCTAGCTGTTGGGGCTGCGTACCCTGCAGCTATACAGGCTGCAAGACAGCAGGCTGCGTGGTAACCGCAACCTGCAACGGAGATTGGGTAAACACTGTCTGTACAAGACCTGCAAATTAGATCCTGTTGATAACCCTCCTGATAGCGGCATGCCCAGTGAAACGATCGCAACCGATGATGGGACTACATATGAGAATACCCCAGTCGCCGGTGGGACAAAAGGAGGAGGCCGTACAACGGGCCAGGCACCAGGCCCGGACATTGATGGCGCTGCCTGCGCTCGCCCAGCCAACAGGGCCAGACTTTGCTGAATGTCGTGAAGGATGGTTGTCTGATGGTCCAGCAGGACGGACCGTATGGTCCTCACATCATCAGTCACGTGCGTCAGGTCCATCTCCTCTAACTCGCTAACGTCCGCTTGTCTCCGCTGCATCCTGACTCTTCTTCTAATCATCCTTTCTTTCTCCGCTTTTATCTCTCCTAAAGCCTCCTGTAGCTGTGCCTCCTGCAATGCTGCTTGTTGTATGGCGATCTCGTCGGAAGTCAACACTATTGGCTGGCTTGCCATTACGCCAGTGGACTGACTCAGGGTCTGTGCGATCGTTAACCCTACAAATCCTGAACTACCGGTCTGAGTAGACTGCTACACAGAGGTGGCCATGGCTTCCGAAGTTGCGACTTCACTTACAAGTGCCCTTCTAGCCTCTGCTGCTCTAGCCCTCCTCTGCTGCTGCAACCTCTCCCTACGCTGGCGGAACAGGTACCTGTCGCCCCCTGGTCCTAATGCCAAGTGGGCAATCGGGCGTCTAGCCGATCGCAAGATCCGGTCGTCCTCTCTAGTGTCCTCCCTATCGCTCATAAGCTACAGCACTGTACATAACCTGCACTTGTGCACTCTAGATGCCTACCGCAGTATAATACACAGACCAATTTAAAATAAATAATTAATTAATTGGTGGCGATGTTAGAGACCTTACACTCGGGCCCAACAGGTTAGTCAGATTCCTACAAACAATACTATTTTTAGTCTGATTAGTCCGCGAACAGAATGCAGAATGAACAGAGACTGTTCTAATTATGTTGTCTGTCAGATGTCAAATGGCTGTACATCTAACTAATCAAAACATAAATATAGTATCATTTGTTTGGATAGGACAGTATGGAATTTTCTCGAACTTATCACCTGAAACGTGCCCCTCCCTTAGTTCCCCTGAATGTCACTTGATGTCAGCGTGCCTGAGCAATCCGAAGAGCGTTGCGTGTCTAAAAGGTGTGTGTTCGGCCCACCCCTGTGCCCCGAGTATCTGCTGAACTGGCCAGCCCTGCACTAGATTATCCTCACGTGCAGCGAGCCTTACAACCATTGGCTGATCCAGAGGCAATTTAACGACCGCCCCCAAGTGTCATCAGGAATTATTTTACGTCGCAGCAGGACGACGTTCACAGCCAATGATTTCCCCTGTCGGTGTTTATTTAAAGACATCCCGGTTCTTGTCTCCCACTAAGGGCTGGCCTGCCCTTCGGTACCCATCTAACAGCGCAGCAAGCCAAACAAAGGACAAGCAGCAAAGCATGCAAGCTCTACTCTCGGTGGGTTGGCATGGTGACTGTGACCCAGTGCTTTGTCCAGGGCCCTTCAGAAAGCTCCGCCCATCTTCTCCCAGATGCTCCACGTGAACATTGCCGACTCTCAAGGTTGAGCGCACTCGACACCTCACAATGAGAGTGCAAGGAAGATGAGCAATAGCGAACTTCAGCAATCAAACAACATCATATATATGAGTCCAGATAGTCCTGACCTCGAACCAACAGCATAATTGCATCACGAGATTCACCAAATAAGAACACACCAAGAGTTCATAATTGACAATGCTGAAATAGTCCCATCATCATCAACGAAGAACCAGAGTTGATATCCTATCTGGCGCTCGACGCCCAAACTACATGTGGCAGATCCTATCTAGCCTATACTACAATGCCGAAGTTGACGACAACAGCTCTCCCGAAGTACGAGCATACAACGACCTATGTTGCACGCTTCCAGCACCAGGTATGTCTCTCGCTTCACTCACAACCTCGTTCCCCAACACACAGATGCCACTAGCACCCAAGGACCACCCTGCGCCACACCCAGCTTACAACAGCGCAGCTCGGCTATGGCTGCGTGCTCCTTCCCTGCTCGCCCGTGAGCGCGTAGACGCCAGCCAGCAAATAGCGCAGCAGCGCTTGCGCAGCATGCAGCCAGCACCCGAATGGCGAATGCGGAGGCAGGCCCTTTGCTATATCGAA